TGAATTTTGGGTACTAAATTTAGAGAAAATTATATCCTCTCAAATCATCTTCAAAAAATGGATAGTGTTCAAGCTAATTGCAAGACACTGGAGTTATAATGAGTAGAACAGGAATATTTTGTTGTTGAAATGGCAGCATCATTCAGAAAAGAACACATGCCCTGACCGGTTTGGCTCAGTGGATAGAGTGTCGGCCTCCGGACTGAAAGGTCCCAGGTTCGATTCTGGTCAAGGGCATGTACCTTGGTTGCAGGCACATCCTCAGTAGGGGGTGTGCAGGAGGCAGCTGATTGATGTTTCTCTCTCATCGATGTTTCTAACTATCTCTCTCCCTTCCTCTCTGTAAAAAATCAATAAAAAAATAAAATAATAAAAAAGACCACAGAAGAAGAGAGAGAACTTTCTACAAGTTCACAACTGGATCTATTACCTGACTGGCATGCTGACGAGTTCTAGGCTATTAAGTCTGAGTCAGAAGAGTAAAGGGGAATTGAATTCCCACATTCTCATGTTAGAAAGGCAGCATACCATATGGAACAAGTAGCTTTAGAAATAGCTCTCTTCATTCAAATCCCAATTTGCCCCTTATGAACCATGTGATCTCTTAAAATATATTTAACTTGATCAGGTCTCAGTTTGCCTATCTGTAAAATGGGATGATAACAATACCCACCTCAATGGGTTATTGTAAAGATTATTTAGATAAACAATATGCCTGGAACACTGTGTCCTTGAGTAAAGCGTAGAACTCATTACTATAATACTCTGTCATACTGGTTATTACTCACAGAGAGGACTCCCCTTTTAGGGTTTGATTTAGCCCAATCCTCAGAAAGCCATATTAACAATAGCCCTTGTTAGACAGAAAATGATCATGCATTTTAGAGATATATGACAAAAAGAAGTTAACTAACCAATAAACATGAACTATACATATGATTGTGAAAATAAAATTAAAAGGGAGGAGAGGACATTTATCAAAGAATGTTTATACAGTACTGTTAATATAAATCTACTACTTATTATAAGAAAAGTGTGTAGAGTCACCATACTACAAGAATGTGTATTTTATCTTGGAAAAAACTACAATTTTTTTTTCAAATAGTATGTGAAAATTGGTAAAGTGCTGAAAATGACTCTTCTCTTAAATAAAGGTCTTTCTAAAACAATATATAGCTACTCAGATTATTTAAACATTCATAGAATTGTCAACACCTCTGGGTGATTTACATTATTGTGAAGTACTTACATAAAAACATCTACAGCTATTTTGTCATCCATTTTACTAGACTATAGAAACCCTAAAGAAATGAGCATAGAAGTGCTCCTAAACTGGTCCCAGAAAAAGTGTACAGGGCTCATACTGAGGTTTTTTTGTATTTGATATGTTATTAACTGCTTATGTTTAATTTCTTGTGCCTTTTGAAGGGGCAGCTTCACTGATCAGAAACTGTTTTCACAGGTGGAAACCATCGGTGATGCCTACATGGTAGCTAGCGGCTTGCCTAAGAGAAACGGCAATCGGCATGCAGTGGACATTGCCAAGATGGCCTTGGATATTCTCAGCTTCATGGGGACCTTCGAGCTGGAGCATCTTCCCGGCCTCCCGATCTGGATTCGCATTGGAGTTCACTCTGGTATGGGGTTGAGCATTGTAGCAAATGGGAACCATATGTATCTCTGTGCACCCACTAAATCAGAAAGTGTAGAGTTTTCAAATGTGATCAGTGTTCATGTGAGGTTTACTCTTGGATCTGTCTGCCAAAAGTGAGGTCCATGACACATCCTGACATAATTAGACCCATCCCTAGGGAGTTCTAGGAAACACCTTTGACTCCTAGAATGATAAACACCACTACGTCCTAAAATAACAAGCTCCAGATTTCCTGGTTAAGTCACTATATTTAGTGTTTCATTTATCTCCTTCCCATTCCCTCCCTCTCCCCTGCCCCCAACTTCAGTATTTTCCCCCACTAAAATATTATGGTATCTTAAATGGATTAGACTATGAGAGTGGGGAGGGGATGGCTGGTCAAATTCTTATAATAAAAGGGCATTTATGCCCCCTACACCCACCCCTCTCATTGGTACAGAAAGCACATGAGCCACTTCAAAAACCATGAAAGTTACTCACCCTTGAATGTAGAGATTTGAAAAGATGAGTTACAATTGTTCTAGAATAACATAGTTGGAAAGGACCTCAGAAATCATCTAGATTAATCCTTTATAGGACATAGATTATCTTTACAGGTTCCAAGATAAGTACTAGTAATTTCATATCCACTTTTAGAACAATTCCAGGATTTCCTGAAAACTCACTGTATCCAAAGCCACATCACTCCATTATTAAATATTTGTCATCATAAGACAGTCGTCCCTGTGTTAAATGAACTCACATCTCCCTGTAATTTCTTGTCATTGCTCCTCTTTCTGCCTTCAAGCCTTGCAGAAGAGCCACAGTATAGAAAACCGGAGAGATCGCTCCAGGCTTTGTGGCCAGGGCCAGACAACTGCATTTACAAAAGTCATCCTGTATCCACAGCACCTGTCTCAAAGCCTGGCAGTAAATACTGATTGATTAAGAAATCAGTGAGATTCTCAAAGTGACCGTCAATAGATGTTAAAAACTGCTACTGCGTGTTCACTGCCAGGAACACAGCTGTAGCCTTCCCCGAATGTGTCCACAGCCAAATGTCTTAGATGTTTCCATATACACACGAGGTAACTTGCTGGGCATCTCTTCAGCCAGCAACAGCATTCTGTCTGTTTTGAGCCATTGCAAATTGCCAGAGGAAGGAACAGCAGCAGGTCTGACCGAACCAAGTCAGAGAGACTTGAGCTCTGGGTCCTGGCCCCTTCTCTCTCCCTCAAGGTCTGAGCAGACTACCGGGCCCCAGCGCTGCCTTATTGGGCTGAAATAAAGATAGATAGTAGGCACACATACCTACTATCTAGGTACAATCCTAGGGTTTAACCCTAAGAAATGAAAGGGTCAAAGTTAAATACTGATAGCTGAAAACAAGACTAACTAATATCTGCAAGGATTTCCCCATGTCCAGGCCTCCTCAGTGTTATCACTCAGTTTCTGAAGAGCCACTTGTGACAAGACCTAAGTCCCAGATCAGAAATCTCATCTAGCAGCTGCCTCTCCTGTACCTTTCCTGCTGGAGTTATTCTTTTGTCTGTTTGTTTTTTTCTGTTTGCTTATCTTTTGTTTATTGTATACCCAACCTGACAGGGAAAAGCTCAGCACTCAGGGGGAGTCCAGTATTTTGTAATTTTTTTTAATCATAAACACAATGTTTATAGGATAAATCTGTAAAGAAACTCAACTTACATACATCAAAACCCAACTAGAAATCAGCCAAACTAGACCAGTAGTTACTTCTATCCAACACCTGTTTTTGTAGTTTCTGAGTTAATCTTTAACCTCTAAAGTCGTTCCACACAAATACCTGTTTAAACAACCCTTCCTCCCCACCTGGTTACACAGTGCACAGTCTTCCTCAGCTTTGTGTTTGCTAGAATGTTCTTGTGCTCCCCCAACCCACTGCATTCACATGGCACATGAAATGCTCAGGGAAAATTCTGCCAGATCCTTGTCTTCTGGGTCTTCCATCATCATGCCATTAATCCCAGAAATGCTACCCTACTAAATCAAAGTAAAATAAGACAAACTTGGGCCATTGAGCCTTCAAGTGTACTGGGACCTCCGGCAGTTCAGAGCTCAGGGTGTGTGGCTCAGCACAGTGAGCAAACACTGGGATAGTCTTCATCCTACAGCTTCTATTGAGAATATTCAGAATGACTTCCCACCTTTCAGCCTGGATCTGATGCCGTCTTGCTTTGTGCAAATGTACTTTTCTGTGCCAGAGCAAAATACTTTCTGAAAGCATGCATTGATTGAATAATGATGTTTCCCTCGTTGAATACATTCTTCATTCGAGCTCATTATTCACACCCTCAGACATGCCTCCGTCAAGTGGAGTATTCAGCATGGTGGCACCTTCATGCCTCTCTGTGATTTCCATTCCTCCACTTCCTGCTTTCTGCCCTTTCCAGGTCCCTGTGCCGCGGGCGTCGTGGGGATCAAGATGCCTCGTTATTGCCTATTTGGAGACACCGTCAACACAGCCTCTAGGATGGAATCCACTGGCCTCCGTAAGAAGGGAGATTGTGTTTCTTAGAGGACAAAGATTCTGTCTTTCGGCAGGAGGGAATTGTAGGATAACGTGCACAAGAAGTGCCAGTGAGATGATGAATGAATGGCCCTTCTTCACATTGAATGACCACAAGACTGTCATTCCAGGCCTTGCTACATTTGCTTTTGTTGCGACTGTTTACTGATCATTATTCTTCCCTTTGGCTCAGTTTTAGGTCGCTTCTATTGGTTTGGGCTTATTTAGCAATGCATTCAGGCATGCTCTACCTGGAATAGTCATTAACTTTAGCAGAGATCCATGTAAGTTAAAAAAAAATCAGTAGGCTAGGTATGGAGTATACAACTTGGTTCATTTTCCTATTTCTCTTTTATTTGGTTTTCTTGGGAATTGGTTTTAGTAAAGAAAAATGTATTTGTTATCTGCAAAAACCTATATTGCATTTGCCTAGCAAGGTAGAGGCACTGTGTGTTGCATGTAGTAGATGCTAAATAAATATGGATGACAGTGATAGTAACAGAAATATATACAAGAGTGAATAAAAGCATTGGTAGATGTGGGCAGACATTGCAAAAATATAGTTGTTAGAACAGTATTTTGGCAATTTACTGACAATCTAATACTGGTTTATACTGGAAAATCATGATGTAAAGGAAAGAATAAGTTTATAAGACTTGCGTTAAAATTATAACTATGCAAATCACTGTCTGTGTTAAGGTAGTGGGGGAATTACCTCATTTTCCTAGGCATCAAAAATTTGAAGATAGGATACAACCTTGCTGGAAGGATTGGAGAGGATATACGTTAATCACTTAGCAATCCTCTGATAGATGGTAGGCATACAATATGGAGGTGCTATTATTCCTACTATTGTTATTGTCTGTGGCACCCGTAATGGGAAAGGGGATGTACAGCAATGGACTGAGGAATGGAAGTATATCCTCACCACTTAGTTGTCAGGAAGATAACAATATCCCAGAAGAGTAAAATTTGAGAAAATCAAGACCCTATAACTGTCTCCTGAATCTTTACCTTGTCACCAACACTTCGGCTACTTATTGGAACTTTTACATGGGGACCCACGTGCCAGCTCTCAAGCCCAGCACCACAAGCTAAATCTAAAACAAGGTCCTGGGGCGACCACTCTGAGCTGGAATGAGAATCCGTGGAGCACAACCCAGGAGCTCCGTCACTCAGCACCCTGAAAACAGTGCCAGACCCTCTTTGTTCCCACGTGTGATATTTATTGCACTGGGTGTGTTTTTAGGTGTTCTTTCACTAAAATATCTGAGCCGTCAAGAACATCTAAAGTGAATGTCCGGTATAAAGGGCAAGCAAATGTGGCCATATAACAGATTTCAAATGGACCAGATTTTCATTGATCTGTTTTGCTTTTCCAGCCTTGAGAATCCATGTGAGTGGCTCCACCATAGCCATCCTGAAGAGAACCGAGTGCCAGTTCTTGTATGAAGTGAGAGGAGAAACGTACTTAAAGGTGAGGGACCCACAGAGACAGCACCCAGAAAAGCCACTCACACACCCCCAGGGGCCACTTACTTTGAGACTGGACACCCAATGGTCAGTAATTCTGGGGAACATACGATGAAGAGTCCTTTTCTGTACTCCCTGCATGGATCTCCTTCTGTCCCTGTGGTGATCACTGACCATCCCCACGATGGGCACCCACTATCCCATGTAGGAGAAGCCACCGCCAAAGAATGTGAACTCAGCCTCTCTTTACTTCAACGAGCCCTTTTCATATTCTGAACTATGACCACTATGTCATAAAATGCTGCCACCATTTCTTCCACAGGTACCCAACTTTTGCCCCCAATTCCTCCTTTATACCCAAGAGCCACAGTCCCGTCCAGGAGTAATTTAACTACAGTCAATGTCCCTGTCTCCTTGCGTTCTTGCTCTTACTTCAAGATGCTGCTTGCTAAGGCCACCTCTCCAGCCAGTTGCTTTATCATTCAAAGCTCTGGACAAGAGATAGCAAGCTGGCCTCCAAAGCCATCAAATGCCTCCCCTTGGCTCTCAGGCTGCTTTCTGAAGGTCATTACAATCTTTTCACAATTGGTCTGCAGCCAACTATTGCCAGTAAGATTATCTGTCTCCAGTAGCCATAGCACTTCTAGCCTTTACACTGTGGTTGCAACTTAAGCCTCCTTTTATGTAGTAGGGTCCTAACATCACACTTAGTTTTTAATCCTCCAGAAATACATTTTCTACACCAAACATTTCTCCCCAGATAGAAGCAGTTTATGGATTACTACAATTCAAACACATAAAAAAAAAACACCCGCTATTTTTAAAGATGAGTGATTTTTAATATAGATATATAACCATCCACTCTCCTTTTCAAATACCAGCTCTAGCAAAACCAGGATTTTCAGTAAGTTTCCATTCATTTTATAGCCTCCATATGGGCCCAGAAAAATGTCAGTAAGCGTTTATTATGATGCACATGTGTTTATAGTTTACACACTTTAGGTGGGGAAACTGTGGCAAAACTTTTGTGGCAAACTTCATGGCAAAATGAGCCAGAAGAAAATGTGGATAATGAAAACCAGTCAGATTTGTTGGCATAACAGAACTGTAGATGAATTTTCTTCCTTTTTAATTTAGAGTTCTTGTGATGTTGCCATAGTGATATTTTAAAATCTTTGGGGACGGGGGTGGGGTGGGGTGGGGGGACTCTACTTTGAAGGAAACATGTCTGGTGATTGAGAGACTTGTTTTTATTGATTTTAGAGAGAGAAAGAGAAAGAGAGAAATTAATTTGTTGTTCCACTTATTTATACACTCCTTGGTAGATTCTTGTATGTGCTCTGACTGGGTCTTGAACCCACAACCTTGGCATATTGGAATGATGTTCTAACCAACTGAGTTACCAGCCAGGGCAAGAGACTTGTTTCTAAAAGAGCACTTGGAGCGTCAGCCCATGGACTGAAGGTCAAAGTTTGATTCCCATCAAGGGCATGTACCTTGGTTGTAGGCTCCAATCCTGGCCCTAATCAGGGTTTGTGCAGAAGGCAACCAATCGATGTGTCTCTCTCACATCAATGTTTCTCTCTCTCTCTCTCTCTCTCTCTTTCTCTCTAGAAATCAAGGGAAAAAATATCCTTGGGTGAGGATTAACAAAAAAAAAATAAAAATAATAAAAGGCATTTGGAAATAAGCTCTGTCCATATATAAGGCAGATCATACCAGGAAGGTATGCTGCACTGAAATATAGGCACTGATGAGGAACTCAGAGGGGAAACGTTTCTTAGAAACAGACACTTGTCAGAACAGTGGGCTAGAACTGAACTGTCTCATTGGCCTCCATGGTCTCACCTCTCCCGTCTCACTAGGGAAAAGGAACCGAGACCACCTACTGGCTGACCGGGATGAAGGACCAAGAATACAACCTGCCAACCCCTCCTACTGTGTAAGCTGCTGGCTGTGGCCGGGGAGGGGAGTGGAGGTCTTAGCTTTGTAAGTTGGGCTTCGTACAGCCAACGTACCAATCAGACTTGATTTTTGGCAAGTGCTTTGACAATGTCAATGATGTATTAAATATGAGGACTACATATGTGAGAAGTTTAGAAACCTCCCTTCTCTGGCTGCTACAAGCTGGGTATTCCAGGCATGCCCAGGAGAACAGAGGACGGTTGAGAGTTCACTTCCTACATGTCTGGTTCTGATAAGAGTAAAGCAAAGGGGCACTCTGCATCTCCACCCCTGCCTACAGCTCTCTGCTGGGCCACATGTTGAAAACGGGATCTACCCCATCCCTGGGGCTGTGGTTCTGGGTCTTCCCATCGAATGTATGTCCTCCCTGAGATGAGGAAGACAGGCTCCAGGTCTGACAGTCTCAGTTCCCCTAAAGCTGACTCAAATGGTCACCAAGCTGCACAGTGGTTGCTGCAGTCAGTCACGTGGCTATTGCTGTGGCATTGGCTATGGTAGAGAAACCCCGTCTTGCAGACTCCTAGATGTTGGACCCAGACAGATGGCAAACCTATAGATGCCAAAACCACCCAGGTCTTCCCTGGGGCCCAGGGGACCTGGCCTCTTCCCAGGATTGCTCCACGTCCATTCCAAATTCTTGAAACCCTCCATTCATTCTGAGTCCTCCCCAGACACTCCTAGGAATGTGTGGGACCAACACGTTTTCAGGGTTGGGTTGCAGGGGCCCAGCATCGTTCTGGCTTCTGCCCCCCTCCCTGCAGTGGCATGGGTGAACCTAACAGCGCCTCCAAGTTCTAGCAGCATGGTGTTTCACTTTGAAATTGAAATAACAGTTTTCAGTTTGAAATATATTCTGCTTTTTCTATATATGCAACTGCACAGAGCAGGATAACAGTCCCGTATGGTCATCTGAGGCAAGCCTGTTTATCGGACTTGCTGTGTCTAGCACAGAAGAAGCCTGTGATAAGTGCTGGGTAAACTGAGGGATCGTTCTGGAGCGAAGAAATATTCTGTATGAGTTGCTGAGAAGTTCTATTTTCCCTCCCCACTCACTTCCCAGGGAGAATCAACAGCGCTTGCAGGCTGAGTTTTCAGACATGATTGCCAACTCTCTGCAGAAAAGACAGACTGCGGGGATAAGAAACCGAAGACCCATGCGTGTAGCCAGCTACAAAAAAGGCTCTCTGGAATACATGCAGCTGAACACCACAGACAAGGAGGCCACCTATTTCTAAACCTATGAGGCCCAAGGACTCAGGCAAATGAAGTACCGATGCCCTCAGGCAGTGACCTCCAGGGTCCCGAAGCCTCCATTTCCCAGAGACCTCAGTGGAACACAAGACTCAGATGCCTCCTACTAACCCACCTAACCCACCCACCATTCTATTTGTTTCTATAAATACTGACTCTGACTGATCTATAACTTATAAAAGCTTGTTTGTATAAGAATCCTAGGAACTGACTTCAGACACAGACTCTGACCTTCAGTCATCCCAGTTCCGGGCGATTTGCTGACCTTCAGCTATAGAACCAGGATGACAAAGACCAGGGTGACACACACAGACCATCACTTGACCGGCTTCGAGGTCCTTATCGAAATGGACCGTGTGGCCTGCACGTAGAGAACTTTTCACCCCTTGGTTTCTTTGTTCTGCTTTGCCTCTCCCTCCTCGTTAAAACCCCTGGCTGCTCTGAGATGTTGAGCTGGGCGTTGCGGCAAGAGTCCCCCATCTCCTCAGGTGACCGGCACTTGAATAAAACCTCTTTCTTTTTTCACCAGCATCTGTCTCACAAGTTTGGTTTTTGTGGTGGCAGTCAGCCGAACTTGGGTTCCAGTTACAAGCTTTGGCTGCCTGTCTGGAACATTTTATAAGAGTATTCTGGAACATTCTGGAAAAGTAAATTACTTTTCCCTCTGGAGCCTGATCACTTGCTTCAGGGAGCTTCAACCTGGGAAAGAGGAATGGATGTACTATCTCGAAGTTGGGGAGTCTTGTTCTCTTTTCATTTATATTGTTTTTGTTTTCTTTACTGGCACTTTTTTCTTCTGTATTCATGATTGATAGGATATTTTAAATTGTAAATTATATTTTAAGTATCTTATCTCCATTAAATTTTATTTAACTCATAATTTTTGCAGAAAATATGCTGTATATTAGGATTGATATGCTATAATTAGGTTAATATATACAGAGTGTCCCATATATATATATACTTTAACAGCTGATAGCTCAATTTTGAAAATGAAGTGTATTTTAATAAACACTGCCTTTCTAATTATTCAGTGTGTGTGTATGCTTTTGGGGGACACCCTATAGTTAATAGTTGAAAGCTTACTGAGTCTGTGTATGTGTTTCCACCTATTCCTCCCATCTTGTGCTCCAGCCCCATCTTGTGCTCCCTGAAAAGCTGCCTAAATCCACCCACACGGAAGCAGAGCAAAGCTAGCATTGCTGCTCAGGGCTAAGAACCTTGACATTCAGTACCGCTGCCCCACCTGAGGAGACTTTGTCTGGGCCTCTACCATGGGAGGCAGGGCCTGCAGCTATCTGAGGTCTGGGATAAAGTCAAATCCTGTTTAACTAATAAAGACACAGAACTTCAAACTCTGCAGATGTCCCTTTCCTGCCATCCATCAGCTGTCTCAGGCCCTTCTTGTGGCATCCCAGCCTGACTCAGTTGCTTGAAACTTCTGGGGAAATGGCAAAAGTCAAGTGGTGTTAGCAGACTGGAATCAGCAACGGTAAGCAAGACAAGCTGTAACACTTCTGGCGTTAACCTTCAGAACTAAAACAACTACTTCAAACACTTCCCCCTCCCCGGGCTTCTGCCATGGAAACCACTCAGAGATGCAGAAACGTTGTCTTTTCCATCTCCTGGAAAAGCAGAAAATCAAATGGTAATAGAATAAATTATCTCCTGGTTTTCAGGTTGAGAACTAATATGCAGCAAGAGTCCTTTCTTGGAGTCTGGAGGTGTATAATCTGCCTCAGCATCTTACACAAGGAGATTTTCTGCATGGAGATGAGGTTGTGACATGAACATGGTTGGTCATTCATTTAGGAGCATCTCTTCTTATTTCAGGAACTGGGCATGGGGAATTATAAAAGCATGGTCTCCGCCAAGCTTTGAATCCTACAGGGGAGAGGGAAATGTAAAGAGATAAGTAGGTTTTGGTACAAAGCAATGTTCTTGACAGCAGGCAAATTTAGCAACTTCAACATCAACAAGAAAAACTCGAAAGCATCTTTAAAGCTAAGGGACCTTGCTAAAACATCTCACCAGCAGGCTCATGTCTGTCTTCTATTACAGAACCTACATGGTTGTGAAATATTTCTCTGTCTTTAAACAGATGTGTGGCCTCGGCTTGTCCAACTTGTCCACTTAGCAATATGGTTACGGGATACCAGTGATGACAGCATCTAAGAATGGAACCCAAGCAAGGGTCAAATTCTTGCACTGCTCTTTTCTAGCTGTGAGTTAATTAATTAATGTCTCCAAGCTCCTGATGTTTCATTAATAACCATGAATCATAATATCCATCTCAAGGGGTTGTTACTAAGATTTTTTTAATTGAAATTTACCAAGCACCTGGCCCAGTGTCGGTCACATTAGGGTCTCAACAAATAACCTCTACTTTCCATTTTTCCCTTCTCTAGTTGCTTTATATTTAACAACTAGAGGCCTGGTGCACAAAATTCGTGCGGGGGGGGGGGGGTCCCTCAGCCCAGCCTGCACCCTCTCCAATCTGGGATCCCTCTCACAATCTGGGACTGCTGGCTCCTAACCGCTCACCTGCCTGCCTGCTTTTGATTGCCCCTAACCACTTCTGCCTGCCAGCCTGATCGCCTCCTAACCGGTCCCCTGCCACCTGGATTGATGTCTACCTGCTCCCCTGCCGGCCTGATTGCTCCCAACTGTCTTCTCCTGCAGGCCTGGTCACCCCAACTGGCCCTCCTCTACTGTCCTGATTGCCCCCAACTGCCCTCCCCTGCAGGCCTGGTTGCCCCCAACTGCCCTCCCCTTCTGGCCCAATTGCTCCCAACTGCCCTCCCCTGCTGGCCTAATCACCCACAACTTCCCTCCCCTGCCAGCCATCTTGTGGCAGCCATCTTGTGATGACGTGATGATGTCTCACAAGGGCATGATGCTACCTAGGCTTTTATTATATAGGATTGGTTATAAAATTTTTCAAATGTACACAAATTTAGAAGGACTATAGCTAATGAATCCCTTTATAGTCACCATCAGTTTTAAGAATTATCAAAAAATAAAAAAAAATAATGTGAAAAGGAAATTTATATTTATTTACAGCTATAACAATTCGGGCATTGATAATGAAGCAGCAGCAATATGATTGCTTTAAGGTAACCTAGGATAATTGATATAATTGCCTCATGGTAGTAAAAAAATCTCAAAAAAAACTTTCCAATAAAATCCACGTATAAGTGGACCTGTGCAGTTCAAACCTATGTTGTTCAAGGGTCAGCTGTAGTTGCTAAAAATACCATTATAGTGGTCCCCCGTTGCCTGCAAGAGATATGTTCCAACACCCTCAGCGGATGCCTGAAACCATGCATAGTACCACAATCTATATATCCTGTCTGTTCGTATACACACGGGGGTGGGCAAAAGTAGGTTTACAGTTGTAAGTTGCACAAAGTACAGTTTATTTTTGTATTATTATTCATTAATTATTGTATTATCTTCTATATGCACAATTGTAAAACTACTTTTACCCACCCCTGTATATACCTATTATAAAGTTTAAGTTATAAATTAGGCACTGTAAGAGATTCACAATAACTAACAATAAAATAGAACAATTATAACAATACTAGAGGCCTGATGCATGAAATTCGTGCAAGGGGCCCAGCCCTCACAGCTGCAGATGCTTGCCTTGGCCCTCGCAGGCCCAGCTTCTACCGCTAATATGCTAATTAGACCATGATGAATGTGATCTCTATCTCTCTCAAAATATCTTAATGTACTCTGCTCACCCTTCCTGTGATGATGTGAGGTGCCCCTAACCACATCTCATTCACCTGAGATGAAGAGAGGTGAATGACACAGGCATTGTGACATAGCATTAGGCTAGTATAAGGGTTACTTGAACACAAACCATGCCAGTCAATCTGATAATCAAGATGGCTACTCAGTGACTAATGGGGTGGGCAAAGGGATAATTTGTCTATACACAGCTGGACAAAGGGATAATTCACATTCCAGGTGGGAGAGAGTGAGGTGGTGAGAGCTTTTATCATGCTACTCAGAACAACAATTTAAAACTACAAATTGTTTATTTCTGGAATTTTCCACTTAATAGTTTTGGACTACCATTGACTGTGGATAACTGAAGCCACAGAAAGTGAATCCATGAGTTAGGGGAACTACTGTTTTTATTCTGTACTTTTATAGAATATAAACCTTTATTCATGTGCTTACACATACACATATACTATGCAATGCAATCCCAGTTTAATGCATCTATCCCAAGATAAAAAGCATCTTATCTTGCACCTTTAAGTAACTGCAATTTTATATCGTGTAGATTATTCCATCGAATTATTTAAGGTATTACCCCAACCCAGGATAGAGAGAGTTATTGGCCAAAAAAACACACAAAACAAAACAAAAAAAACAACAGTAACATGCTCCCTTGATTGTGTCCTAACATTTGGACAGAGTCATGACACCTTTGTTATAGAAAGCATGAATTATCACTTTCAGTTCTATATTTCTTTGGAAATAAATAAAAACCTGAGGTTTATGAAAGAACAGACTCTTGTAAAACTGGAAATTGTACAAGAGCTTCCAGCATCTTCTAAAGAGATCCTGATTACCCAGTCACCCATTCAGCTCAGGAACAAAACCAGCATGGAGCAGTGTTTCTCGAAGCACCCTGTGCTTACCTGCCTCACAGCACTCACCACACTGGCCAAGTGAACTATTAACCTTCTAGACCCCTCAGACCGTGAACTCTTCAAAAGCAGGGGCTGTGATTCATTCATCTCTCTATTCACAGAGCCCAGCACAGTGCCTGGAATACAATAGGCACTTTGCACATGTTTGTTGAAATCTAACTATGGTTTAAGCTATTTGATTTTAACTATCCTTTAGCTTAAGTTTGCCAGGAGCCCCACTGGGCTGGAAGAGAGAGAGCTGAGCTGCCTGTTGTTGGTATAGCTGATTAAAGCAACAAGCCAAAAATGAAAGAGTTAAACCTCTAATCACTGACTGCAATGATATAAGCAAGAGTCTGAAACCAAAAAACAACAACAGAAATAAAACAGTGCTTCCCCCTCTTCCATTTCCCCCCATGGAATAGCATGCTGGTTGAGGGTCATATGTACCAGCACAGATGT